CTCAATTTGCACTATTTCTGGCAGTCTGCAACCCCCCTAAGAATGAAGGGTTGTTACAAAAGAAGGTGGGATTGATGTCTGAAAGCTATCCCACCTTCAGTTCACTCTGTTTCCTGGAATGGATCAGAGAGCATACCAACCATTCCACAGAGCAGACATTACTCTGCTCCTTTGTAATGTCAGGGTCGGTAAAAAATAAGACTCATATTATCTATGATCTCCTCTTAGATGAGAATGCCAACCTGGCCTGCTTTACAGAGACCTGGTTGGGAGAAGGCAGCACTATAACTTGGATGCAGGCCCTCCCAGCCAGGTACTTGTTCAGTGAGCAGGTGAGGGGAATTGGGTGGGGGAGAGGAGTGGCTCTGGTTCATAAGAACAACCTGACCTTGACCAGGATACCTGTCCAGAACACAGTCCACTTCGAATGTATGTACCTGAGCCTGAGGATGAAGGATAGTTTGGGGATTCTGCTAGTATACCAACCACCCCGTTATCTAATAGATTTCCTAACCAAGCTGATACAGTTGGTCTCAGAGTTGCTGTTGATGTCGCCCAAACTTCTAGTTTTGGGCAACTTCAACATTCCACTTGAGACCAGTCTCTCAAATCTAACAGGTGCGGCTCGGGAGTTCATGGAATCCATGACAAACATGGGCCTATCCCAACTGGTCGTCGGGCCCACTCATTGTGCAGGTCATACCCTCGATGCAGTCTTCAGTACGGACCAGGAATATCTGTGGGTGGAGGTTATTAATACCTCCACATTGTCATGGATGGATCTTTTTTTGGTCAAGGCTGAACTAAGAACCACTGTCTGCCCAACCGGGGATAGTGGACCTATTAGAATGATATGCCCTCAAAGGCTAATGGAACCAATTGGGTTCCAGAGAGCCTTAGAGGGTTTAATGATTGAAAGCATTGGTGATTCAGTCAAAGCTTTGGTTAATACTTGGAACACTGACCTCACCAAGGCTATTGACACAATCGCTCCCAAGCATTCTTTCCAACCCGCTTCTAACCATAAACCATTGTACATGGAAGAGCTTAGGAAGATAAAGTGGGTTGGACAATGACTAGAGCACATCTGACGGAAAACTCGACTCTTATCTGACAAGACTCGTCATAGGAAATTTCTTTGTTCCTATCAAGAGGCAATACATGCAGCGCAGAAATCTTTCTCTTCTGCACGTATTGTGTCTGCAGAGTGCCATCCAATGGAGCTCATCCAGTGGTGAGGGAACTTTCACAAGTTCCACCTGTGCAGAACCCATTACTTAATCCGACAACAGCCTGCTATGATGCGTTTAACAACTTCTTTGCAGATAAAATCTCTCAGGTAAGAGCTGACTTAGATGCCAGTGTGGTAACAGAAACAATTGACGAAGTGTCCAGCAACTCCGTTGAGGAGATTATACTGGATCAGTTTCAATCTGTGAGTACAGATGACGTGGACAAGCTCCTTGGTAGAGTGAGGAAAACAACCTGCCCTCTCGTTCCTTGCCCATCATGGCTGACCGTCCGGGGGGTGTTCCTTAGGGACATCATCAATGCATCCCTTAGGGAAGGTCATGTTCCATCTTGTTTGAAGGAAGTGGTGGTTAGGCTGCTTCTGAAAAAACCTTCCCTGGACATGAACAGCTATAGGCCAGTCTCTCTACTACCTTTCTTGAGCAAAGTGATTGAGAGGGCAGTTGCTCTTCAACTGCAAGCTGTCTTGAATGATATTGACTATCTAGATCCATTTCAAACTGGCTTCAGGACAGGATATGGAGTTGAGACTGCCATGGTCACCTTGGCTGATGACCTTCATCTGGGCATTGACAGGGGTAGTGTGACCCTGTTGATGCTTCTGGACCTCTCAGTGGCTTTTGATACAATAGATCATATCATTCTCCTAAATCTCCTGAGAAGGTTAGGAATTGGAGGCACTTCATTGCAGTGGTTCTGTTTCTTCCTCTCGGGCAGATTCCAGAGGGTGATGCTTGGGGACAGTTGCTCTACAAGGAAAGAGCTTAATTGTGGCATCCCACAAGATGCCATCCTCTCCCCGATGCTATTTAATATCTATATGAAGCCACTGGGAGAGATCATCCGCAGACATGGGGTGGGGTGTTGTCAGTATGCTGCTGACACACAGATATATTTCTCCTTGTCTCGGTCCTCAGCCTTGACTTCAGACAACATCTCTCCTCTCAATGACTGTCTTAAGGCAGTAATGGACTGGATGTGGAAAAACAGATTGAGACTGAATCCAGATAAAATGGAAGTACTTACAGTGGTGGCCCCGAAACTAGGTATCGGGATACAATCTCGAGTCCTGGTTGGGGTCACACTCTCCTCTAAAGACTGCATTCGCAATCTGGGGGTACTCTTGGATCTGTTGCTTCAGATGACAAATCAGGCAAATGAGACGGTTAGGAGTGCCTGCTATCAGCTTCGGCTGATACACCAGCTGCGCCCTTTCCTAGAGGTTAGGGACCTTGAAACTGTGGTGCACATGCTGGTAACCTCTCGTCTTGACTGCTGTGATGCACTCTACATGGGGTACCCTTGTGCTTGGTCCAGAACTCCAATTAGTACAGAATATGGCAGCCAGGTTGGTCTCAGGAACAACGAGAAGAGATCATATAATGCCAGTTTTAAAATCACTTCACTGGATGCCCATTAGTTTCCAGGCACAGTACAAGGTGTTGGTTATTACCTTTAAAGCCCTAAATGGCTTAGGTCCAACCTATCTTTGGGACCGGCTCCTTCCATATAATCCACCTAGTGCACTCAGGTCCTTTGGGAGGAATTTGCTGCAGCCTATAAAAACTAGGCTGACAGCAATCGCTCCCAGATTATGGAATGGCCTGCTGGATGAGATCCAGCATATTATCACCTTAAATAGCTTTAAAAAGGATGTTAAGATGGATCTTTTCTGGCAGGCCTTTCCTGAATAGTTATCCCGGCCTCAAGAGTCAGCCCATCTCTTTCCTTCAATTTCTGTCACAGTTATTGTTATTGTTGCTCTGTCTTATTGTGATACACTTTAAGTATGTTTTAATTTTTTTTGTTTAATACTATTTTAAGGGGTGGGTGGGTTTATGTGATTTATATTGTATTTCTACTGTAATTTTAATGTTGTAAGCCGACCCGGTTGCGTCTGCAGGGGGGCGGGATAAAAATAAATTTTATTATTATTTATTATTAAAGGCAGAGCAAATCTTTCTACTCTACCCTCAGGAATTCTTGAGTACAGCATAGGTTGCTGACACAGGTATGATCCTGAATCTCTGGGAACCCCCATGTGTTCACTTCCAGAAACATTTTAAAACATTTTACCTTTCTGCTTTAGTGCCAGGTACAGTTTTTATTACCTTCCTTGGTCCTTACACTCCGGAAACACAACATGGTGGAAAGTGAATTGTAATAACTTAATCCTGCTAAAATTGATTTCTGATGTTTTTTACATTGTGATTGGCAATGGTTAAATCCATGGATGGCAAGCCTGCAGATATTGATGGCCCACTGTACTACCACTGCTGCTGATGCTGGATGGTGAATGAGGCCTCCTTATTCCATTTGACTTATTTCCCAGTTGGTGGTGCTGTGCCCCTGCCTCACTGTCACAAGATCCTGCACCCAATGAAGCAACCTCTGCTTTAGTCACACCACTTTCTTGACCAGCATCTTCAGTGTCTGGGATTGGCCTGTTAATACTTCCATGCTGTCAGTAGCCACTCTGGAGCTAGAATGTTGCACTATGTCCATGCTGGCTGCTCCCTTCCTACACCCTTCTGCTGGTGCTAGGTCCACCCATGATTTCAGAGGCAGGCAAGACTGGACCTGGGTCCTTGACAATAGTTCCTGTGGCGTTTTCTGCTTTCTCTTGGGTGGCATAGTTCCAGCTACTTACATATGAGAAACTAGAACACACACACAATAGGTTTTTATTACCTTCCTTGAAATTTATTGGTTTTTATTACCTCCCCAATGAAAATAAGAGCACTTACAGTGATATCAGCTGATTTCTTTGATGTGGTGTGCAAAACAAGCAGGTTAAAGACCAGAACAGTGGCAGGAGGGAAACTACATGCATACAAGCACTATAATGCCAGAGACCCCACCCCACCCCATGGCTACAGCTAAGCCAGTCCTGAGTATGCCAGTAATATATCAGTGATATATTGATGTATCTATCCTAGACCAGTTAAGGATACCAGTTGAAGAGATTTTTGAACAAGAGTGTTTTTTTTTTTGTTTTGGTATTAAATGCCCAGAATAACACCTGGTCCATGGAGAGACTTCACCTCAGCCTGTCAGCAACCTGGTGCCAGGCAGTGGCGGGGGGGGGGGGTAGTCCAATAAGAGATAGCAAGGGACGAACCCAGCTCAGTGAAAGATATGAAGGAGCCCTTATATGGATTGTTGCACCAACTGCCCCTACACCAAACTGGATGCTCGCTTGTCTGTTGCTGCCTCACTACCTAGAATTGCCTCCACTATCACCACCACCATCACCGGTGATTTGTCCTTGGATCATCTTCATGTCCTGCTATGTCAATGCTCTGGAAATTCATGCTCTTACA